AACTACAAGCGCGTGCTACCACGCCCAGCTAATTTTTGATTTATTGTAGAGATGAGGTCTCGCCAAGTTGCTGGGGCGGGTCTCAAACCCGCAGGCTCAGGCAATCCACTCACCTCGGCCTCCCAAAGTGCTGGGATTACAGGCTGAGCCATGGAGCCTGGCTGAAAGGAGAGTTTCTTAACAGGTTGGATTGAAAAAACTGGGCATCCATATGCAAAGGAAGTAAGTCTCAGCCAGAACCTCACACCTCACACAAAAATTAACTTAAAATGGATCATAGCTTAAATATAAAGCTGCAAAACGTTTAGGAAAAACACATGGGAGAAAATTTGGGGGATGGGGGCTAAGTAAAGTGTTCTTAGACTGGATAAAAAAAATATAACTCAGTCAGGCTCAGCCTGTAATCCCAACACTTTGGGAGGCCAAGGTGAGTGGATTGTCTGAACCTATGGGTTCGAGACCAGCCTGGGCAACTTGGCAAGACTTCGTCTCCACAATAAATCAAAAATTAGCTGGACATGATAGTGTATGCCTGTAGTTCCGGCTACTTGGAAGACTGAAACAGAAGGATCGCTGGAGCCCAGAGGATTGACGCTGGAGTGGCTGTGAGTGTGCCACTGCATTCCAACCTGGGCAACAAAGTGAAACTCCAACTCAAAAAAAAGAGTATAACCCATAAAATGAAAAAAAAATTGGTAAATTGGATCTTATTAAATGAAAAACCTTTGCTCTATGAAATACATGTTAAGAGAATAAAAGGCCAAGCTACAGACTGGGAGAAAGTATTTGCTGACAAAGAATTTGTATTAAAATTATACAAGCAGATTTCAAAATTCAATAGTATAAATGTGATGTGTATTAGATCGGGCATGGTGGCTCAGAACTGTAATCCCAGCACTCTGAGAGGCTGAGACGAGAGGATTGCTTGAGCTCAGGAGTTCAAGACGAGCCTGGACAATTTGATGAGACCTTGTCTCTATAATAAATCAAAGAATTAACTGGGCGTGATGGCATGTACCTGTAGTTCCAGCTGCTCGGAAGGGTAAAGCAGAAGGATTACCTGAGCCCAGCAGGCAGGGACTGCTGTGGCTGAGATCATGCCACTGAACTCCAGCCTAGGCAACAGAGTGAGGCTCTAAGTAATTAATATAATAAAACATACAACCTGGCTGGACTTGGTGGCTCAGTCTGTAATCCCAGTGCTTTGGGAGGCTGAGGTGAGTGGATTCCCTGAGCCTGTGGGTTCGAGACCTACCCGGGCAACTTGGCGAGACCTTGTCTCTACAATAAATCAAAAATTACCCGGGTGTGGTAGTGCGTGCCTATTGTTCCGGTTACTTGGAAGGCTGAGATGGAAGGATTGCCAGAGCCCAGCAGGTCGACGCTGGGGTGGCCGTGACTGTGTCATAGCACTCCAGCCTGGGCAACGGAGTAAGACTCCAACTCAAAAAAAAAAAAAAAAAAAAAAAATACAACCCAATTTTAAAATGAGCAAAGGGTTGAAAGGACACTTCATCTAAGTCAACTGACAAATAAGTGTATGAGAAGATATTCAATATCATTATTCATTAGGAAAATGCAAATTAAAATCACAGTAAGATAACCTATTAGGATGGCTAAAATAAAAAATACTGGCAATACCAAGTGCCAGTGAAGATGCTAAATAAATGGGACCCTCATACATTATTGGTGAAAACACAAAATTATTGTCACTCCAGAAAATAAAATTAAACACATACTTAGCACATAGCTCAGAAATCCCATTCCTGGGATTTGTCCTGGAGCGGAATTTCTCAGCATCTCCAATATTAAATTTTTGGGTCAAATAATTCTTTGTTTTGGGGGCTGCTGTGGTCTGAATGTTTTCGTCTCCTCAAAATTCATATGTTGAAACCTAATCCCCAATGTGATGGTATTTGGAGGTGTGGCCTTTGGGAGATGGTTAGTACATGAGGATGGAGCCCTTCTGAGTGGGGTCAGTGCCCTTATAAAAGAGGCCCAAGGGAGCTCGTTTGTAAGACACCACAAAGAAGTGCCATATATGAACTGGAAAGCAGGCCTTTGCCAGACACTGAGACTGCTGGCACCTGGACCTTAGACTTCCCATCCCCCAGACCTGTGATAAATACTTTTCTGTTGCTTATAAGCAACCTAGTTATGGCATTTTGTTATAGCAACTTAAAGGTGTGAAGGTGTGACTACAAAGGGGTAGCCACCACACCTGGTTAATTTTTTTTACGTTTTGTGGAGATGAGATCTTGCTATGTTGCCCAGGCTGGTCTCTAATTCCTGACCTCAAACAATCCTCCGGCCTTGGCTTCCCAAAGTGTTGGAATTACATGCATGAACCACCAAGCCCGGCCCATGTACAGGTCTTTATGTGAACATATGTTTTCAGTTCTCTTGAGTATACACCTTGCCATGGAATTTCTGAGTCATATGGTAACTTATGTTTAACTTTGTGAGGAACTGCCATCATTTTTTTTCTTATTCACTATGGTTTTTATCTTTTTTTTTTTCAGGAACTGGTATTTATTATCAAAGTCATATTCGATGTCAACAAGATGCCACAACTACAAAAAAATTGCGCACATTGCAATCTCAATGCAAACAGTCAAATGGAATCCCAGTCATTAAAAAAGTAATTCAAATTACCCCAAAAAGCAACTGAATTTTTTAAACATCTTTATACATCCAGCCAACAAATTAAAATGGTTAACAAGAAAAAATACAAATTCAGAGGTCTGGTATCGATGTTAAAAAAGGCAACTGCTTAAGCATTTCTATCAATTCAAACATCAATCTCCCGGCCACTCAGCTTCATGCCATTCATCATCCGGCAGGCTCGCTCAGCCACCTCTGGTGACTCAAACTTCACCACACCACACCCCTTGGACTTCCCGTTCTCCATCTTGATGTCGGCATACAGCACGTGGCCACATTCGTTGAATTTGTCCTTTAGCATCCTCCATGTAAAATCAAATGGAAGATTTCTCACAAATATCTGGTAGGCCTTCCTGGCCACCCCAGGAACATGGCCTCCAGCTCCACCAAAGGAACCTGCGAAGCTTCCTCCAAAGTTGCCACGCTCCATCTCAATGGCGTGGTCAAAGCTGGCACCGCCACCACCGCCCATGGCCAGGCCCATGCACTCAATGCCAGCGCCTGGGGCCGGGCCCATGGCCAGGCCCATGCGCTCCAGGCCCATCCGCTCCAGACTGTTGGCGCCCATGCGCTCCAGGCCGGTGGCCATGCGATCCATAACAGGGCCCAAGCGCTCCAGGCCAACTCCCATACCTGCGGGCACCATGCGCTCCATGCTCAGGCCCATGTGCTCAATGTCAGGGCCCATGCGCTCCACACCAGAGCCCATGTGCTCAATGGTTTGGCCCACGCGGTTGATGGGGGAGGCCATGCGCTCCAGGCCGAAGCCCATGCTGGCGCCCATGTGCTCCACACTGGAGCCGATGCGCTCCATGGTCTGACCCATGCGCGGGATGCTAGAGGCCATGTGGTCAAGGCCCAGTGGGCCCATGCGCTGGATGCCGGAGCCCATGCGCTCCACGGAGCCCATGCCGTCCATGACGAGGCCCATGCGCTCAATCTCAGAGCCCACGCCATCCATGCCATGGCCCAGGCCTGCGCCCATGCGCTCCATGCCCGGCACCCCCAATGCGGTCAATGCCAGGCCCATCCTCTCGATGCTGGGGACACTGCCTCCACCTCCACCTCCCCCCTGCTTTGCAATGATCTCTCCTCTCTTCAGTGCATTATTTAGGATTTCATTTATCCTGTCCATGTTTATCCCAGATCCAAATCGACCCATGTTTTCCATACCACCACCAAAGGGTCCCTCCATGCCTCCCATTTTATTTATTCCAAATCCTATGCCTTCCATTCCCATTCCTGCTGGCCCTATGTTTCCCATTCCAATGCCTTTATTCAGGTGACTGGCATCAATAGGTTGCCCTCCTGGTCCTAATCCCATGCCAATACCACCAAGGCCATGAGGAAGTTGTTGTGGACGCTCAGGAGGGAAAAAATCTCCCTTTGGTAATGCCCTTTCATCCATTTTGATGTGCATCGGTCTATCAAATAGCAGCTGGCCATTGAACATTGATATAGCTTGCACAGCTTCAATGGACTGTTCAAAAGTAACAGTGCCTATTCCACGACATTTTCCATCTTTATCCTCAAGAATGTCTGCTCAGACCACCACACCAGCCATACTAAATACTTCCTTCAGTTTCTTCCAGACAACTTTATAATCCAGATTTGCTACAAATACTGTGATTCCAAGTCTTCCAGCCTTTTGCATTGCTCTCCTGGCATGTTCACCATCAGGATCTTCTTTGACTTTCAGTGGTCTTCCACTCAGACTATGCTTGTTTAGGACTTCCGCAGCTTTTTCCATGCTCTCTTCCATCTTGAATTCAACAACAGCACATCCCCTGACTTTCCTTCAGCGTCCGTTAAGAGCTCCACATATGTTACCTCACCAACTTTTTCTTTAACCAGGTCTTTAAGTGACTGCCATTTCATATCAAAAGGGATATTTGTAATGAAGGCTCTGTATCTTTTAGTTGGATTGGCATACGGCTCAAAGCAATTGCCTCCTCTTTTTATGTTTTTCTCCTTCCTCTTCTCACTCTGAGCAGGACGTTCTCCTTCACTCTTAGGGCCCGGAGCTGTGTTGCCACTCGGCACGCCGGGCGCGCCGCTCTCCTCCTCCATTTTGATCTCCGTCGCTGCTACCTCGGCCACAGCTTCGACCCCTGCCACCATTTTCTCCGCGTCTGGGCTTTGTGTGAGGGCTGGTTTTTATCTTAATCAACAGTTCTTTGCTTCCACAACTACCTAGCAGAAGAAGGAAAGACAAGAGAGTGTGAGAGCAAGAGAGAGAGAGAAGCGGCTGTACTTTTTATTTTTTTCTCCTGTCCGGGACTGAGAGAAGGTACTTTTTTCTCTTATAAGGAACCCATTCTGGCAGTAACAGAATAAATCCATTCATGAGGACAGAGTTCTCATGACTTCATCACCTCTTCAAGGTCCTTTCTCTCAACAATGTCACAATGGGAATTAGTTTCCAACACATGAACTCTGGGGGACACATGCAAATCATGGTAATGCCTGAAGCCTCAACTCTATTCTCCCAGGCTTTAGCACTTTGGCCAAAAGCCTATGTTTCTCCTATTAAGTTTTTTGTTTTTTTTTTGAGTTGGAATCTCACTCTGTCACCCAGACTGGAGTGCAGTGGTCGCTCCTGGCCACGGCAGCCTCGACCTGCTGGGCTCTAGCGATCCTTCTGCCTCAGCCTTCCAAGTAACTGGAACTACAGGTGCGTGCTACCATGCCTGGCTCATTTTGATTTATTGTAGAGATGAGGTCTTGCCAAGTTGCCCAGGCGGGTCTCGAACCCGTGGGCTCAGGCAATCCACTCACCTCAGCCTCCCAAAGACGTGGGATTACAGGCTGAGCCACCGAGCCTGGCTAGGATTGCATCTTATTTGTTTTTTTGGTTTTTTGGTTTTTTTAGCCGGGTTTCACTCTGTCACCCTGGCTGGAGTGTAGAGGCACCATCACAGTTCACCTCAACCTCAACCTCCTGGGCTCAGGCAATCCTGCTTCAGCCTTCTGAGTAGCTAGGACTAAGGGTGTGCATCATCACCCGGGTAATTTTTTTATTTTTTGTAGAGACGTTGTCTTGTTATGTTGCCTAGGTTGGTCTCGAACTCCTGGGCGCCGGCAATCCTCTTGCCTTGGCCTTTTATGTTGTATTTTGTATTTTTTTTTTTGAGTTGGAGTCTTACTCTGTCGCCCAAACTGGAGTACAGTGGCCGCTCCCGGCCACCGCAGCCTCGACCTGCTGGGCTCCGGTGATCCTTCCGCCTCAGCCTTCCGAGTAGCCAGAATTACAGGCGCGCACTACAACGCCCAGCTGATTTTTTTAAATTTATTGTAGAGATGAGGTCTTGCTGCCCAGGCGGGTCTCGAACCCGCGGGCTCAGGCAATCCACTCACCTCAGCCTCCCAAAGGTGCGGGATTACAGGCTGAGCCACTGAGCCCGGCTTCACCTTGGCCTTTTAAAGTGCTGGGAATACAGGCGTGAGACACCATGCCCAGCCTGATAATTTCTAATTTTAATAAATAATAAGTAACAGCATATTCATTTTGCTAAGCCCTCCCCTGGGCTAGCTGTAACCTCAAGGCATGTGTATTTCCATTTTCAGTTGTTTATTCTCTTTCTTTCTGGACCTATTTTTAAAATTTTCAAAATCAAAAAAAGAAGCAGCTTCAGAAAAACAGCTGACCACATCACAGTTCAGTTCAGTTCTACAGAGAGTCTGACTTTATGAAAGAAAACTTTTTTAAAAAGAAAGGTTCCAGCCAGGTACGATGGCTCATGCCTATAATCCCAGCACTTTGGAAAGCTGAGGTGGGAGGATCACTTGAGGCCAGGAAATGGAGACCAGCCTGGGCAACAGAGCGAGACCTTGTGTCTACCAAAAAAACAAAGCATTTGCCAAGTGTGGTGGCACGCATCTGTAGTCTCAGCTCTAGCCTGGGCAACAGACTTAGAAGGAAGACTTAGAAGGAAGGGA